GGAAGACAGGCCCGTTAACACTTCTGGCTGTAATGTAAGAAAACTTTCGTTTTTAAGATATGTTGATTGTTATTTAATAAGCTGAGGTCCTTGGGTTTTATAAACATGTAAAATATGTCATGTTCTGATAGAAACTGTTCTGATTTAAATGGCTTAAAGAGTTTTAAGTGTTTCCGTTTTTGCAAACGTTTAATTTCTGCCTTGGGGACTGGTAGGAAAACTTGAATTGCCCTTTGCACTCGCAGTAGCTGAAGCGAAGCGCGGGATCTCTGCCGTTGCCTGGCCTGGGAACGGGACACGACCCCTGTTGCACAGGTGGCTCATTTTACCCATTCTAACATGAGAGCATGTAGAGCAACATCAGGGAGTGTCTGTTGTTCAGATGCCTTCTCCTTCTCTCTTGGAGACTGACGGAGTGTTACTCCTGTTTGTAAAATTTTCTAGAAGAGTTTAGGGATGTAACAGGTCTCTCAACTCCTATAGGACAAAAAGCAGAAGGAACAGATTGAAGTTTGTGATACAAGGATCAGCCTTTTGGCTTGCAAATTCCTTCCAAGTGGTGTTTTATTTAAACGATGCTCTGAATTCTCTGTTGGCAGTGTCCTGGCAGGAAAATCCTCAGGAAGTCTGTGATGATTCGTGCTGTTCTTCCATATCTGTAGACGTTATTCCTTCTACTCAGGAGGCTGCCTGCATCCAGCAGCTTTCTCCCATAAGCTCTGTGTCCGTCGGTTGTGTTTACTGCCCGGCAGCACGGGCGCTGTGGCTGCAGGACCACGTTGTCATGTCCAAGACTGTTAATAAATGCCTCCCGGGGGCACAGGATTTCCAGGATTTCTAGTGTTGTGGGTAACGAAGCTGTACGGCGTTAACCCTCTGGGGACCTGAAGGTGGAAGTAAGGAGGTATTTCCTACCTCTGCAGCTCTCCTAACATGCTGGCAGGGTAACGGTCACACTACACGCATCCTGGTAGTTGGGAGAACAGGGACTGAACGTGGGTAAGTCTGTTCTTAATCCCAAACACTGGATATTAACCCTCTGGCCCTGCCTGTCCTCACCCCCTCCTGCAGCGTGTGTCCAGTGGAGAGATCCGTTGGCAGATCATGGGCGGATGTTCATTCCGTTTGAGGCAGGTATGCGGAAGGGATAGTCCGATTTTACTACATTTATTTTGTGTACTTGAAAGCTTTTTTTTAATGTATTTCCCACTAAATTGTAACCCTGTGTATTTATGTATATTAACATGCAAACTGCTGTTTCATAAGCTGGTCCTTCCTGAAAAAGTATCTTGTTTTCTACAGAAATAAAAAGTTGTGTTTGTTGGGGGAATTCTTTATGCAGCTGTGTGCTTGTGTTTGATTTGGTCAAGCCAAAACTGTCCTAATAAACGTGAACAGGAGACTTCCAGCAGGGGCTTGACATCTGTTGAGTCCTTCCCTACTTCTGTGCTCTTTTGCTGCCAGCTGGGCAGCTTGGATGTGGAAAAAGTAGGAGATAGCTCTGTGCTGCCCTAGTGAGTGTCATCGATGACCGAGGGAAAGTCAGTCCCACCAAAGATCTGTTTCCCATCTCTTTGCTGTTTCCCTCGGAATAGAGCTGTTGAGTAGCTGGTTTTGGAGACCGTCTTGCCTATCTTGGACTTACCATGTCAGCTTTTGTGATTTAACAGGATCTTGGTTTTCGTCCTGCCTCACTCATCTTAGAAATTGCTGGAAGACACCAACTAAGAAGCAAAATCCCGTAGTATTGATGGGACAGCTTTCTTGGCTCAGCGTGTAAAGCAGGTATTTACCTTTGGGTTTTATTTCATTTCAACACGTTCAAACTCTGCTAAATAAGTCTGCAGGTAACGCAGTTTTAAAGGGTGGGAGTGTGGCTGCTCCTGCGCTCTGCGCAAGCTCATCCCTCCCGGGAGCTGGATGGAGAAAGCAAAGGGTTGACGTGCATTCACTGTTCCCAGCCATGGCAGATGGAGCAGCAACAGCCACGTCTCTGCAACCCTTCCTTTGCAGGCAGAGGGCTGGTGCTCCTGCCGAAGCTCTGAGCGTCTAGTGTCTGTGAAGTCTCTGTGCTATGTAAAGCAGGTGAGATAACGTCTCCTGAGCTCACCTGGAAGTCACCACCTTGGTTCAGGTGGAACAGCTCTGGCTTGTTTCATGCCAGTTTTGGATCTGTTTTGAAGCTGTCCTTGCACCGAGAACCTTCCTTTGTGCTTTTGTCAGTACGTTTGTACTGGGCAGAAAATCCTGAAGTACAGCTCCTTCTCCAGGAGAAGGAGGAAGCGCAAAACATCTCCCAGATGACCCCAGCAGAGGAAGGAGGGTGCCAAGGCTCCTGGGTGAGCAAGAGACCTGACGGCAGAAGCATTCAGAGAAGTGAAACGGGCCTCTCGTAGGCTGGCTGCAGCCTGCAGGCCCTGCACAGGCGGAGCGGGGTGGCGGATCCTCGGGACGAGGTGTGAGGTGGATCCCTGTCGGGAAGCCCGGACTCCCCCACGCAATCCCTGTTCGTCCTGCGCAGGTGTAGTGACCACACCTGCTGGTTAGCGCTGCCCGCAGCGGGGGACCCGGCCACGCTTCGCTGTGTGCCAGACTGTCCCCTCCTGCGTCCCCTCTGTGGGCTGGCCTCCAACAGTGGGGCTCAAGACCAGTCCCCAGCCTCCCGCTTTTCACACGTGAGGAAGGAATGACAGCACATGCATCCTAAAGCCAAGTGACCTGCAGGTATATTTTTATAATGAAAAAGTGCTTTTTTTTTTTTTTTTTTACCCCCCCGCAAATCAGGTTCTCTGCAACCAGGAGAAAATCCAGTAAACCCCTAGCTGTTTGTAGAGGCCAAGGTGAGGATCACCACCCCGCAGGTCAGGCTGTAGCAGCCAAGCAGGAGGTGGGAAGCTGTGTGGCTACTTATACTGAGAAAAGAGTGCTGGCACCACGTAAGCTGCGTGTCTGAGCATCCCATCCATATCGATCTGCTTGAATTCATCATCTGCTTTTGGCGCTGGGATATCCGGAGCTCTGCTGGCCCAGGGATCTGCAAGAGGAGCGAGTGCATCAACAGCCCAGCCACCTCCTCGGAGACAGGCTGAGTGTTTGCAACCAGCAGGATCCCCCAGGTCACAGCAGTGTGAGCGGGATGGCTGTGCTGGGTCTCCAGCCTGAATTCCTGCTTGGAACAGGCCTGTCACCAGCTCTAGCTGAGGCTGGCTGTGGCTTGGAAGTGCCACCAAGTCTTGGAAAACAACTCTGGAACCTGGAGACTGTGAAGTCAACTGAAGAGTGCTGTCCTAGGGGAAAGGGTCCTGCTCTGTTTGGCTGGGCCACCTCAGAGCTTCAAGAGAAAACCTAAGGGAAGAGCTACAAACGGTGACCCAGAGACATCCAAGCTGCTTCTCTAAAAGCTAGGATATGCTGCCAAAACCTGCACAGGCAAGGGCAAAGCCTCCATTTCTGGGAGGACACGCTATGGGGGCCAGCATGTCTCTGTTTGGTCACTGGCAGGACAAGGCTGTTTCCCTGGGAAATACAGGAGCTGGGTAAACCTTGTTGGACCTCACCCTCCAGCTGTGGAGCAGTTGCCCTCCCAGGGCCTGCAGGGATCTGGCTTGGCTGGGCCAGCTCTGGGGCAACTTCTTCTTCTGATGGGTGCATCAGCTCCGGCATGTCGAAGTTGATGTACTGGTACAAGGGTCGCACGCGCCGCCGTTTTCCTGGGGTGGTACAAGAAAAGCCCGACACTGACCACCCCTTCCCTGCCAGGGCTGGGCTGTGGCTCACGGGCTGCAGCAGCATGGGGAGGAGAGGAAGAAGGTTACCCCTGCCAGGAGAGGAACCAGGGCTGCAGAGAAAGGCAGGTGCCCTTGAGCTGAGGCTGCCTGGTGGGATGAAAGCCAGGGATACATGGCCCCATCCCAGAGACAGAACAGCAGCTGGAGGGAAGAGCCATGATGAGCCTGCCCAGCCATCACAGTGCCCAGCTGAGAACTCACCAGTGGCAGAGTCCCCATCATCACCCAACCCCCGGGGACGCTGCCAGGTCCGGGAGAAGCAGAAGGGCAGGAGGCCACCCTGCTGTACTGCGGATCCAGCCTTAGACCGGCATCATTCCTGAGACAAGTCACCTAAAGCACACGCTGTGCCAGCCCAGTGTGGGTGGCTGCAGCCACCAGCTTTGCTCACCTGGCGTGTCCTGGGACAAGGCGGGGGGGTCAGTTTCTTTTTCTTACTTTTCTTCTGCTGCTTGGCAGAGGGGACCGCATTGCCTTTGGAGGTGCCCGGCTCCTCCGTGGTGGGATGCACCCTCTGGAAATCAGAGTGCTGCAACCGGATCGTTTGTGACTTGGCCCTGTGGGACAGAAACCAGCTGTGGGTCACAGCCAGCTTGGAGTCTGGCTGCAGTGGGAGACAGAGCCCCACGCACCTTGAGGGGCTCCATGCCCTGGCCATGTTTCTGTGCAGCCCTTGCCCTCGGTCTGTGCTCATGCTGTGGTGAAGCCATGCCAGGGGCTGGCTGGCACCTTGCTGCTCCAGCTGACAGCCTGGACTTGGACTGTCTGGCTAGTGGTCACTGACTGTGGCTGACGGATGGCTTGGGGCTACTGCGTTGCCATAGGTGCCGTTTCCCTTTCCACCACAAGCCCTGTGACTCTTTGGGCTTCTCCCGTTCCACACTTCTCTGGTTTATCTGCTCTTTTAAACTCTAAGCAACTCAAAATTACTACAATCCAAGCTCCTTGGTTCTCAACAGAATAAAAACCAAGGGAGAACAATGTCCAACCACAAATCCTACATACCAGTATCTTCCACCCCAACCTTCCCCAAAGTAGGATCTTCCATCCCCTTCCTCCCAACCTTGTTTCACCCTCACTCAACACAACCCGCCTGGAGCAAGCCCAGGCCTCGCTGGCAGCTGCTCCTCACACCGTGATCCTGGCCAAGAC